CTCTTAGCTTAACATTTATTGTTGTCTTATATCTACTTTTTGTCATCGGATTTTACTCACTGTTTAGTTGTTGTTCAAAATACAATGTGTATAATTGTTTCCATGTAACATTTAATCAAATTAATTTACTAGTCATGAATGAATTAAAGATTTTGTCAATTTATTTATTTATTTATTTTGGTGATAAATTCAATCTTTGATCAATATATATATATATATATATATATATATATATATATATATATATATACCATTGATATAAAACAAACAAACAAACGACACACACACACACACACCTACACCTACATGTGAGAACATTTGAAACATGAAACAATAGTCACAATACAAAACTAACACAATCTATCAAGTTTATAACATTGAAATATAATATTGAAACAAGTAAATTTTTGTTATCCGAGAGAGAAGAGAAAAAAAACTGCCTAGAAACTGTATTGTGCTTTTTTTTTTTTCTTACTCCGTGTTAGTTTTAAGCAATCATAAGTGGTCCTTTTTAAATAAGGTAAGGTAACCTGTGAAATGTCTTTGTATCATTATTATTTTTTTTCTCTCACGCTTAATTTTCGATAAAGAAAAATAGCATACAATGAACTTAATACATTTTTTTAATTAGTTTTTTTTACACTGCAAGATATTTTTTTAAAAATCGGGATATAGAGGATTCATTTAAGAGAGTTGGAAAATTTTGATTTCAAACTAATGGTGTATATAGGCACTAGAATTCTGTAAAAAGTAATGGGGTATGAATCTATTGTTGGTCACTGGCTACTATGAGACTGCAATCTCTTTACGTTGCTCCAATTTCTTATAGATTAGACTTCTAGTTCAAAGACTCGAGGAGTGGCCTTTCATGAAAACCATCTGCTTTGGTTTGGGCACCCGGACAGTTTTCTCTGCATATATATTTGTTGCCTCCTTATATCAAGGTTTATACGTTTAAATAAATAAATAGATGAACTATATATATTTCACTTCATCTATTGTGTTATTTTTATGATGAATAATTTCGAATATGCTATGAATATGGTCATATACTTGTATTGGTTAAATAATAAATACAATTGAGATCGATAGATAGTAGTTAATAATACATTGATAAAACGACAACTGTTAATGAAACGAAATTATTTCTACAATAAATCTTGCGTGTTAGAATGTTATCAAATGACAACAGAATAGACTTTCTTAGACGAAAATAACTTAAATGTAGAAAATGCTGCTAAACATAAAAATAACTATGATTTGAAATTGTTCGAAATCGATTGAGAGATTCAGATTATTTTTTCGGTCACTTACACTTCAATGACATTAAAACCTAACTGTCAGATTTAATTTTTATTTCGTAGGTTCTCGTCAGTTCCTTACAACCTGTGATATTTAAAAATCATAATTACATAATGGGTTTAAATTACTTGCATGAAAGAGTTTGATTGGAAGTTATATTGAAGACATATTCGTATAGTGTAGCAAGGGTGTATATAAATTGAATAGACTGAATATTGTAAATATATAGCTTATATGAAGGAAAATTCTACATTTTTTATTTCAACTCTTTCTCACATTTATTACATCATTGAGTTTTAATTCATCTATCTTCCAAGTTAATAAGCTTAATTTATCACTTGTTTCTAGCCGTTTGTACTGTTGTCACAATCAATGTTGTAGAATGCTCTTTTACATAACGTGTATACATATATATATATATATATATATATATATATATATATATATATATATATATATATATCATATTCAGTCTATTCAATTTATTTACACCCTTGCTATGCTATACGAATATGTCTTCAATATAACCTCAAATCAAACGCTTTCATGTAAGTAATTTAAACCCATTATGTAATTATGATTTTAAATATCACAGGTTGTAAGCAGCTGATGAGAACCAACGAAATAAAAATGAATTCATGCTATTCTGTTAGAATCTTTGTTCTTGTTCTTTTCAAAACGATAAAGGGAACTATGTGTATGAAATGTCAGACTTTATTTTTGTGTACTCTTTGTAGGTGTTATCGGAAAAAAAAGACTGACATCTGTTAGATATAATTAAATCCAATTTTAACCGAACTGTTATGATTTATTTTATCATGTATTTTTTTTGAGATGATGGAGAAGATTTGCAGCTCAGGTGGATGATTTTGATGAAGTTCTGTGAGTATAACAAAACCATTTTGCTCACAGAACAAAACTTCATTAAAACGTATTTTCTTTTCTCTAAGTTTTTCCTCATTTCAATTAGAGTCAGTCAGTCAGCTACAACATACGACTAAGCACATATATACATCGGTCCAAGTTCCCATACCTCATTCGCACAGCAAGACGAACACCAGATTCATAGAAGTAGTCAATTCAGTGATGGTAATAGATAAAAGAAAGATTGCATATGAGGATATAATACAGGAAGAAAGAATTAGTTGGTAAAAAAAAGATATGAAGGGATTTTAATCTCATAGTTTAAGGGAAAACAGAGAGTTTATGCACCTACGCCATTGTGATCGATCCTGAGCCATGTCACCCAGTCTCCAACCATTGGTTACGATAGTCACGCGGACACCAATCAAGTAGTTTGCATCTACCAATATGACTCAAACCAGAAGTTAGTGACTTCAAGCACTGATGTCACGTTTTAGTTTGGCCGCCCCTAACTTTCTTTTATTAGAACCAATTATATAAAAGAAACTGTATATCTATGTATAGAATATTGTTGATTGAAATTTCCTTATTTCATGTATTAGTAATAATAATAACAATAAAGGAACCATATAACTTATTCATTTACTATTGATTATTTAATAAAGTTTTAATTGATTTCAATTAAATATACGGGTAATTTAATTTAATTTCTTTTTCTATTCAATAAATTACTTACAAAATACCCGCATTTTCTATTATAAACTAGTGAATCATTAATAAATTTAATTTAATTTTATAGAAATAATTTTGTGAATAGATAATCTGCTATCATTATGATTTTTTTAAATGTTTTACAGTTTAAGCAAAAGTATTAACGATGTTATTGTTCTTTATTGTTTTGGTATTCCTTAACTATACAATATCTACTTTAGATTATAACAAAAATTAAGAAAGAATGATATATAAATTCCAATGAATCTGAACAACATAGATTATAGTATTAGTAGTAGTAGTGTAGTGTGGGTTACTTATATCCACATAAGTAATATTGTGGTGTGTGCTACTTATATTGACATGAGTAGTATATGATGTTAGGGGTGAACAGAAGGTCTAACAGCAGAGAGCCAAGAGGATCGAATAGTAAAGAATGGAACAGGATGCAATTTGTATGAAAATGCAAGAACAATGAAGTCTGAGTCATTTTGAGACAAGTGGTGGACATTCTGCAAATTAAGCAATTACTTTATGATTGTTAGATTTTATTAACAAGTCCTGTAATTTTGTGTTCAATACATTCGATTGTTCCCCACTGGTGTTCTTGTTCACTACAATATATAACGATGGTCAGGCATAGAATGTATTTCAAGAGAAGATCGGTAAGGAAAGAATGGGAAAGGAACGCGATTGGTATGAAAAATACATGAACAATGAAATTTGAGACAATGAACTGATATTTGCAAAAGGAACAGTGAAGTTTGAAACGATGGACTGATATTTTGCAAATTAACCATTTACTAGATGGTTCTCAGATTTTAGTGAGATGCTTTGTAATTTCATGTTGAATACATTCGATTGTCCTCACCCATGTTCTTGTTCACTTCAGTAGTAGTAGTAGTATCAAAGTTTACGTATAATTTAAGAGCATAAAATGTTCGATAAAAGTATAGTGTAGGGATGAGTTTAAAATAACTGCGACGAATTTTCAACCAGTTCTTAACCAAATTAGAAAATGGCTTTTGTAAATGAATAGTTTATGATAAATAAAACAGTAATATTACAGTGTGTAAATAGATTTTATATAATTAATAAATCTGTTAACGTCTTCTATAAATTACTCTACCTTTAATTAAGAATGAATTTATCCTTATAAATATATATTATCTGTATTCTCGAACCTTTTAAAGAACCTAAGTAGATTTTTATGAGTTTCCACATTGGTCTTGATTATAGTTATGTATTTATGTTTAGGATTATGGGATTAAGTATTTCAGTTTTTATCATGGACTAACACAAGTTGTAATCGAAAAGTGCATTAAAGATATTTTATATTTTCATGTTCAGTTCAATCTATGTAAACAGAATTGACCAATTGATATATTTAAAATTATCATTTTTACTATTTAATGACAAAAACTAACTTTTCGTTGTGACTTTAAACGTTCTGAGCACTGTACAAAGGTATTTCTACTGCTCGCTACAGATGGTATTTGAATATTACGCTCGTCTCTATACTATATCGCATCTTCTAGCATTTTTTCGACTTGTTCACTAACGCTGACTGATTGAGAAAAAAATAATCAGCATATTCAAATTTGAACCTAAACTAACCATGTCATGACTCTGTCTTGTTAATAAAAGGATGATAATTGTATCATGAGTTCAACTAGGATTAACTAACTTTAGACTATCAACAGTATATAGATTTAGTTAAATCTAACTAGCTGTAAGCCACAGGAAAAGTGCTAATTGCGTGCATTAGTAAAAAAAGAGATGGGTAACCTAGTAACTGGTAAATATCTGTAAAGCATTGAAATCTCATATAGTAATAGATTAAATGTTCGAATTTTTTTCTCACTTATTTCATTTTGACAAATTGAACTGTATCGTTTGTGACATTTGAACTGTCTTTCAAAGCTGCTCGAGTGTATAAACCTATTGTTTGACCTGTGTTACTATCATGGAAAATTACTTCTATTTAATTGTAAGATAATAAAAATTTGATTTATATAAGTTGAAACTCAGTTTCATAATGATTGGGAGAATTTAGTAATAAACTATTCGTTAATTGAGTATTAAATAGATTGTTTATACCTCTTTTTTTCTCACCTTTTTAGCACCGGAAATTATTAACTATGATCCTATCACATTTGCTACAGATATGTGGTAAGTTAATTATACAAGTTGTTAAGTGTATATTTGGTCTGTCTAATAAATATATGAACTGGGGCCGGCTAGTTACTAAGGTCGTTAGTTATAGATAACCAGTAAACAAGCGATCGATTGCATTGTACATTAAACTTTTGTCGTCTTTAGTCATTGTGACCTTATTGACATGGATGTTGTGCAACTGAATATGTGTTACTAATGTATGGTCGCTGTACTACAACAATGTGATTGCTAATTCATTCGTAATTGTCCGTGCAACCACTCTTTCTACTTATCATAATGAGGTCTCTGGGATATATTTCTGTTCTTAAAATTCAAAATGGTTATGCAGAGTGATAATAGGACAGTTTTAATATGTTAAAATGTTGAAATGACGTTACCGATGTCAGTTAGAAATTCATTGAAAAACAGAGAGAGTATTGAATAACTGTCTCGTCTTTCTTTTGAAATTTCCAACCATGATCACTCACAACCACATTGGTTGGTTAGAAATCCAAGGAAGTTTATATTTTGCAATGTCCTTTATGTCGCATCTATTGTTACATCAATCTATTATTTCTAAATTTGTCACAATGAGATTGAAATTGACTTTCATCGATAAAATATTTGGCTTAATCTCTACATGATTGACTTCATCAGTCGTTAATTCCCACTACAATTTTAAGAAATATAAATGAAATTCTTTTATGAACATGCTATACAATTTGGAGGTATTTTATCTCCAAATGATAAAGGTATTTTGTACATTTTAATTTGATAATGGTTCTATAATTGATATCAGTTCATAAAGGGAACTGTTTTTTTTGAGTATGATAGTAGAATCTCTACAATTTGAGTTAACCTTTTAAAATGTTTTTACTGTGTTTCTAAAATTAAAAAAAAATTTTTTACTTCAAGTTTTGAATTATACATCTTATATAGTTCTATGTTTATCGTTAATTGTCGATTGCTTACTGTAATTATATAGTCAAACTGATCTTTTTTAGTTTCATAGTCTATTCATCATATCACTATATTTTTCTGCAATTGTGAAACATGAAATTATAGGGTATAAATTGCAAATATTTAATCATAGGTGTCTTCAAAGCACTTTTCACACATAGTACAGTTATCTAGTGAATAATTAGTAGGTTGGGTGAATGTGTTGATGAGACTATAAATCTTTGTTTACTGAGCCTGCCTATGACATATGTTATGTATTATCAACGACTACACCTACTCGAAACGATAATACACTAGGTAGTGTTAGAGTAATTTGTTAAAAACCAATGTGTAAGATTAGTCTGTGAAATCACTGACCATTTGGGGGGGGAGTGAGGCTGATTAGTTCCTAGTCCCTATCCTGTTTAAAAAACACTTATTTTTGTACTATCTTTCTAAGGCACATTTTTATATTGGGTGCAAGGTAGGCAAGCCGGCTCATTATACTAGAGTAGATCTGACAGGTTTCGAACTTACACTTCAATAGTTGAGAGTCATGTGGTAAAAATTATTGTCAAATAAATATTTTCTGTGTTTTTTCGCAATATAGAAATGTTTGTAATTTTTTTATTATCCTGTTTCATTTTTCCTATCACTACTACTACTGCAACGCTTGTCATTATACTGTCAAATTTAATCTACATCATTGACTCATAAAAGTGCCTTAAAATCTGGCCTCTGTTTTAACATTCCAGTATAATACATGTAATTAATTGATTTCTAACTATTTAGGACTTGAAAAATTCACAACTCCATTTATTTATTTATTTATTTATTTATTTAAAAACATAAACATTGGTACAAGGAGGCACCAAATATATATGTGCGCTACATATATCATTGGATTTGTATGAGGCATAGAAAACTGTCCAGGTGCCCAAACCAAAGCAGATGGTTTTCATGAAAGGCCACTCCTCGAGTCTTTGAACTAGAAGTCTAATCTATAAGAAATTGGAGCAACGTAAAGAGATTGCAGTCTCATAGTAGCCAGTGACCAACAATAGATTCATACCCCATTACTTTTTACAGAATTCTAGAGCCTATATACACCATTAATTTGGAATCAGAATTTCCCAACTCCTAAGTGGACCCTCTCTATCTACTAACCTGGTTAAGGATCCGGACATTCGCTTTTGGTCGCGATAAGGCAGTGAGTAGAACCCTCGGCAATAGCTGTGCATGCATAGCCACGTGGGTGCATTTCGAGAGGGACCGTACCGCATTTGGGGCACTACATCAATAAACCGTATCTACATATAGCACCCTAATCTTTCATTTAAAGTTTTCAAACCTCAACTTTTATGTTGACAATCACCCGATTACTATACGTCTAATTATCCCATTACACATCGATCTATATTTTATCACAGTCTTTTTCCATATATATATTACCATGACAACAGAATTGATTTTCCTTAATTAATAATCCTTAATTTGTAACTGATTGGTGTTAAATCATTTAATATGATATTTTAAGTGAATATGTAAATCCTTTTTCTTTCTTGGTATTCTGAGGAGTTTGTAAATAAATAAAAAATAAAAATCGATTCTTCTTTTCTTCTTTTTTCTCTCCATCGTATTGTGAATTAGTTATCATAATAAGTGAAATGTTTATATTTAATTTGATTTGTAAACAAAATATACATTTGTATATGTTTAGATTTGATGATTAATTTCTATTAAAAAAAAAGAAAGATACGTAAATAATTTCTAACTTAGGTTTATTTGTTTACTTGTAAAATTGGCTTTTAAAACCCTAAGGGTTCTGTGCACCTTTTACGTGTATTTTTTATTTACGATCTCGCTCTAGCACCTATGTATGTATGTATGTGTGTGTGTGTAGATAAACTCAGTTGTTGAAAGTCAAGTGTATTAATTTGACATTTCCGTTGTATCATTGAAATGATGTTACTCCCAATGGAGCATAGGCCGCCGACCAGCTTTCTCCAACCCACTCTGTCCTGGGCCTCCTTTTCTAATTCCATCTAATTCTTGTTCATCTTTTTCATGTCTATTTCCATTTCTCGGCGTAATGTGTTCTTTGGTCTTCCTCTTTTCCTTTGTTTTGCTTTGATAAATGATAGTTCATAAGAAATACATGTTGTTGCTATGGTTTCATTTCATAATCTCGTTAAGTATACATAATTAAATGATGTTTCTGATATAAGAAAAGTGAGTTATATGTTTGCAGATTTTTAACTTTTATTTTTGGAATGGTAAACGCAAAATACTAATGATTGATAAATTAAAGTGAAGACTTACTTGGTTAAAATGTACAACTTAATTAAGTAGACAATTATTATTATTATTTCATACTGCTTATTTTTCGTTCCTTTTTACTTTTTCACCCACTTGATTCATTGGAATAGATAGATTATGAATGGCAATGGAGTGAAGAATGTGAGTTTCTTTCTATTTTGGGCTCGTCAGTTGACTGTACCTCCACTCCAGTGTTGATATTCACGTTCGATCTAGAATATAGTATTTTTCGCTTCAAATTTCTAACACGTTATACCCTAAACTTAGCAACTAATTTGTTTATTGTGTATGCTATTTGTAATATTATTAGCGAGGGATTGAATTATCCCATTTATAATTAAATTTTTCACCAAATAGAGAAGGCTTTGAACTTGTGACTTAGTTGTTAAAATTCAAATGTTTTAACCATGAAACCTTGATTGAGTTCTGTATATCAGCAACCAATTAATCCAAACCCTTATCCAAATACTTGATTTAATCTTTTAGGCCTAAAAAAGATTTTATTATTTCAAAGCATTGGTTTGTGTTATGTATATGCTTTGATGATTGATGATCAAGGCTGTTTACTTCCTTTTTAACAAGATGTTTGATTTACAAATTGTCTAGATTTATGTACTCTACTTTTAGTTATATTGTTTCGGTGATAGTTCCAATAATACTAATAATACCATAGATTACTTAAATAAATATAAAATTGAACAGGATATGGAACATATAACGTATTGTCCATTTTTGTATTGGTTGTGTGAATCTTCCCATTAATGTTTAGGACTTCAATTAATTAGTGTCATATTACCATATGTTTATCCTGTGTGAATTGCTTCGATATCGTCTTCATTTTATAGGCGAAACAGTATTTTCTCATAATGTTTTTCCCATGTACCTTTTCAGGTTTAATATTATTGATAGTTGATGACGATTAGACATATTAATGCATACATTGAGTCATGACTTCAATAGAAACCTTGATTATTTCCCATTTCCTACTACATCTCCCTAATTTCATATAAATATTTAATATTAATATTTTTAATTAGATTAACTAAACATTATGGGTGTGACTATAAGCAAACAAGTTCAATGGTATTATTTATGTATAATAAATAATATACTTGTGTCATCTATTCAAGTTTTATCAATCTTAAGTAGATTGTCTACATTTATTCCAGAAAAAAGAAAGTGAATTGACTTTATAAGCGAAAGAGAGAGAGAGAGAGAAAAAAGGAAAATGGTAGATAACTTTTTGGCATAAGATTGTGGTACTTATTCCCGTCTGTATGTGTATGTATGAATACTACTTTTCCTAAAGACATATAAATTCAATATCACTATTAGTACTGTGTTTTTCTCTCTGTTGTAAATGAAATTAATCAACTATAAATGATACAATCTTGTAAGAAAGATAGAAAAGGGTAAAAAGTTTTAATCCATTCTTATCATCTATGTTATTATTATTATTAATATTTTGATTACCACTACTATCTACAATATCTCCATTTTGGAAACATTTCTGTATAGTATATAAATTGTAATCTGTATCGTGTTACTTTCTTCTGTAATGGGTCTCTCTTCACAATTTCTCCATTTATTTCCTTTCCATCCATTTCATTTGACCTTTTAGGTTTAGCTAATACTTTTCACATACGTGTATTTGTGTTTGTGAGTATGTTAAGATAAATAATCTTTGTGAGCGGAATTCGATAGTGGCTAGTATTAGAATCCAGTGCGCACGTTTCCTCCTACTTGGGACTCGTTAG